TTGTGTTATGTCATGTCTCCCCCCCCCCCCCCCCCCCTCTTTCTTTCTTGACCTACCTCTGCCTCTCCTAGTTCCTGTTACCGTCAACATCTCACTCCTCTTCACATGTCCAAACATATGCCAATATTAGAGCGGTATATGTTCTTCTTTGAGCACCCCATTAAATGGCAGAGCTAAACGGAGGGAAGGAAATCCCCTTCAATGAAAATTTATACTGCCTAAACATTTTTATAAAAAAATTCAATTCTATATTAAACCATTGAATCCCTTCGATATAAGGGGAAAAAAAATCTAGAGTGAAGTAGCATAGAGGCGTCAAAAATAGCTTCTAGATTCTCTTTTCATTTTGAGTTCTTTTGGTGTATATTCTTGATTTTGCCACTGATTTGATCACATCTAGTCTTACAATTATATAAAATGTTCATCTTAAATTTTCTTTATAGCAGAATGTTAGATTCCGAAATAATCTTCACTGCTCTTTGATCAATAATATATTAATGAGATTGAATAATTAGTTTAATATAAAATTTAAGAGATTAATTAGTGAATTTTATCTAGCTCTTCTAGTCCCACACTGACCGGAAAGAGAGATTACAATATGTAACAAGTTGCATAAAAAATCGAAACACATAGAAAATCATACCTTTCTTGACCTTTTGGCTAAGATCAAGTGTAGTATATGTTCTTATCAATTCAATATCTGATATGTGAGTCACTGACTCACATGATATTAACTCTATTTTTTGAGGGGAAGGTTCATAATGGTAGCTAGCTATCGGGACCTTCAAGTGTCGTCTAGGCGTTGCAATATCGCCTTGGCTTGGCTCACCCCACAAGTGATGAGGAAAAACTCCCTCTCCTACTAGACAACTTATGAGAAAAAACATTCCCTAAATGATGTAACAACTTTTTAAATTTATTTTGAAATAGTTTTTTTTGTTTTTTTTGAAATAGTTAAATTTAAAAAATATTTTACTTGAACTTTTAATTTTACGTTTAATGAGAAGCTAGTTATTCAATGTAATTTGATGATCTTAAGTCCCAAAAATCTTCATTTATTTTTTAAATTTTGTTTCTATTCAAATTTTGTCACATAAATTGGAATAAAAATAAACTAATGTCTTACATGTCAATGCAAGACAATACAGAGCAAACGGAAATAGTAGATTGACATACCTCCAGTCACTGTTTAACGACGTTGGAGTCGTCGGTATTTGTTTTCCAATTTCAATAAGTCTTCTAAGCACTCAAACCTCACTCAAGATGGTGTGGAATTTATAAGGAGAATTTGTGCTATGGACCTTATGTCCGATATATTAATTAAGCATGGATCTGTAACAAAATTTTCTAATATTTTATTATGTTCAATAATCTCAACTAAATTAGTATCGTTAAGGTGAAGGGCACAAATAACTGATTTTGGGGCTTCCATTTACACATTTTTATTTTACTTTTTTACAAATATATCCACTTTTAAATCACTTCAGACATACGAGATTAAAAGTAACAAAAATTCATGTCTAAAATTTGATAAATTTTATTTATTTATTTTTTATCTTAAGTGTGACGTTGACAAAACTAAACATCAACCTTGTTTGCTTGAAGTTTGGCTTGATTTGTCAAAGATAACTTTAGACATTTTTTATGAAGGTTATAATCTCGACAAAGCTCGACTTCAGACATATAATGACTTGTTAAGATTAATTTCAGAATAGATGCCTAACTTTAGAATTGGGAAAGATAACTTAAAGCTTTTATATGGATTTTGACTTATAACAATTTTTACAACTTTATAAAGGAGAAAATTCCTCTCAATTCTTCTTTTTGTTAGACATGACGTGTGTAACACATATCAGTCTCCAACATTATTTATGGTCGGTAGGCAGATAGATGCAGATTCAGAATTTGAAGTTTATAATTTTTTTTATAATGAATGGATGAAGTAGTTGATGTTTTAGAAAATTAAAATATAATTATTTATTTGTAATTAAATAGAGAGGGAATTAAATTAATGTGGTTTAAAAGAGATTAATATGAAATTGAAATCAAAGAGAAAATAAGTGATTTAATCAAATTATCCTTTTGGTTAATTTTTTATTAAGGGACGCGCAAAAAAATATATGACAAATAAAATGGACCAAAAGAACCACAAATCTCCAAGTCATATTTTAAGACGTATTTTTTCAATATGAGAAAATTTGTAATTTATAGTTTTTTATGTATAATTTTTTAATATATAAATTTTGATTTTAAAATATTAAATTAATCTAATCTAAAATTATTCATATCACTCCATAAAAATGAAATATGACAACTATTTTAAAATTAAAAAAAAATAATTAATTAAATTTCGTGCCTAATCAAATAGTCTGGTAAATGAGCATCTATAAATCCCCCCCTTGTTTACTCCTTGTTTCAACCAATTCTCAATATATTTCTCAAATTGCATTTTCCTTTCTCTATTTGAAGATGGGACACTTCAAGCGTTTGTTTGCAACTTTCTTCCTTGTAGCAATGCTGCTTTTGTCCAGTGGTTTGTCTTCTTTCTTTCATATTATTTAATTTTATCATATAGTTTTATAATATTAGCTCTACATCAAAACTTAGCTCAACGGAAGAAAATTGTCCAATTGATGTTAAGAGTCTTAGTCCTCTCATTCACCTCCAATGTGAGAGTACTCTTTTTTTCATAACCCTACACACACAAACCCAAACACGATCCGATACTGAAGCGTGAACAGTTTATTTGAAAGCTCAATATCATATTTCTTTATTCTAATATCATGATATATGAATTTTAGACTTAACACAACCCAAAATCAGCTCAAAGCACTATAACAAAAGAAACATTACCCAAATAAGATCCGATATTGAAGCATGAACACCCGATATCATTTGTTTTGATTCTAATATTATGTTATATGAATTTTGGACTTAAGACAACCCAAAATTAGATCAAAGCACTATAACAAAAGAGACATTACCCAAACACGATCCGATACTGAAGCATGAACAATTATTGTTGCTATACAATTAAATTAAGTATCCTAGTTATCTCATTCACAGCCGATGTGGGAATCTTCTTTCATCATTTATAACATGTTTGGCTATAATTGAACAGAGATGGGAACAATGAGCAGTGCAGAGGCAAGAACTTGTGAGTCACAGAGCAACCGTTTCAAGGGGACATGTGTTAGGGACAGCAATTGCGCCACCGTTTGCCAGACTGAAGGCTTCATCGGCGGCAACTGTCGTGGCTTTCGTCGCCGTTGCTTTTGCACCAGAAACTGTTAGAACAAAGTTTCTAAATGAAATACTCATCATCCATGATAAATAATGATATGATGTTCTATTCTATCAATAAAAAGAGACTAAATATAGTCTCATATTTATTATATATATGTGGTGCTTTGATTACGATCCAAAATCATAGGTCATGATTGACGTATGAAGAGTTACTATCTAGGCGTACCAAAATTATTAATAGAGGAAGTAGTGGCGGAGCTAGAAATTTTATTAAGGGTGTCCAAGAATAATGGTGTGTGGTGTGTGGTGTGTGACTGTCAAAATAAAATAAAAAAATTGTGATATTTGGGATTCAAAAACGGAACCGCTTCATTCAAATTCTACATTTGACATATATATATAACATAATTTTCCGACTAATGAGTGTCCAATTGGACACCCTAGGGTGGTTGTGGCTACGTCACTGAGAGGAAGAAAATAGTAAATATCGTCAAATCTCGATTTTAAATTTAAGACTAACTATCAATACTCTATGTATCAAATTATGAAAAAGTAAAAACACATATAAACATCACAAATTATGAAAAAGTAAAAACACATATAAATATCACAATTTACCTCCACTCCACATAAACATTATAACTATATTCATAAATCACTCACAATTCATACCTTTCACCTTTTTGGCTAAGATCAAGTGTAGTATCTATTTTTATTAGTTTAATAATATCTAATATATGAATCATCGACGAATCCCATGATGTGTTGCTATTGGGGCCTTCATGTGTTGCCTTAGCTTTGCACGATTGCCTTGGCCTGGCTAATCTAATAGACGACCGATCCTAACATCTCTTGAATCTATGATATTACAAGTCCGGGAGGGGTAAAAAAGGAATTTAATTACTAGGCTTTTTTAAAAATATTATGTACTCTTTTTATTAATTTCCTTTTTTTTCCCCATTTTTTCAGGGGTAACTTAATATTTACGTCTTTAAATAATTCACATTAGCAAAACCCTAGGTAGAAAAATTATAAGCAATATAGAAAAGTGGAAGCGGCAAAGAGGATACAAAGAAGATGGATGTTGATGGGGATATGGAAATCCTTAGCAGGCTACATGTGCTGTCACTTTTACGATTCAAATGTGTTTCAAAATTTTGGATGACATTGATTTTCGATCCTTACTTTAAGATGAAGCATCTCAATCATGCCAGGAATGACGATAATTCCCAAAAAATTCTTGTTCACCAATGGAACCCGTCTTAACAAGGTATCCTTGTATTGTTCTTCTTTACCGTCAGTTCAACGGGTTGAACAAGTACAAAAACTTGATTGTCCTTCTAACGATAAACCACGGCGTCACATATTATATTGTTGTTACGATGGCTTGGCGCTTATGGGGATTTATAATTATCTCAATAAACACTTACAACTTTTGTTATGGAACCCCTCCACGAGAGAATCAATGGTACTTCCTTATCCAAAAAAATTCAAAAAGGACTATTCTACTTGGGGATTGGGATATGACTCGACTAGCGATGACTATAAGATCCTTAAGATTGATCACAAATCACGCAATGAAATTTTCGCGTTGAAAAGTGATTCATGGAGATTAACGGATAAACATCCTATTGACATTCGCCCTATACTTACATCTACCGACTCTTTGGCATTTGTCCATGGGGCATTTCATTGGCTTATTAGTTCGTTAACGAAATGTTCTGTGATGTCATTTAGTATTTCAGATGAGGTGTACAGAGAGATACCATTGCCAGAGCAACTCTACTCAAATTTCTCCAAGTTCACATGCGGTGTTTGTGGTTATTTTTTTCATTATATGTCTGGTAATGACATTTTTAAATTTTGAGTAATGAAAGACTATGTCAAAGAATCTTGGACGGAATTGTTTACTATACAAGGTACCAATATTCAATTAGCCATACCGAAATATATGTTTTCGGATGGAGAAGTGCTACTCTATTGCATACATTTGGATCGTAATTATGTCTTTAGGACGACGTCCAAAGGATCGTTTGGATCATGGCCTCAATCTGATGTCAATCAGAAAGGATTTGTTTATACAGAAAGTTTGATCTTTCCAAAATTAATTAGTTAGATCGAGTCACTTTACTTCTCTAGATTATATTGTTACAAACTCTTTTGTGTTTTCATATCATAAATTGAAACTATTTTGGAGCCAACTAAACGTAAATAGTTTCATTCACTGCTCTTTGATCAATACTTTATTATAGATAATTAATGGGATTGAAATAGTATAATATATAAAACCAGAGAAGAGATTAGTGAATCTTATCTATCTCTTCTAGTCCCACACTGACTGGAAAGACAGATTTTTATGTAACAAAATGACATAAAATAGCGCAGCATAACACAGTGAAAAGCATACCTTTCTCGGCCTTTTGGCTAAGATCAAGTGTAGTATCTGTTCTTATCAGTTTAATATTTGATATGTGAGTCATTGACTCACACGATATTAACTCTATTTTTTTAGGGGAAGGTCCATCACGGTAGCTTGCTATCGGGATCTTCAATCATCGCCATGGTGTTGCACTATAACCTTGGCCTGGTGCACCCCACCAATTCTATTCCATAATTTAGATCATTTCAATTGATATGTAATAATATTCTTTTGTAAAGAATTCTATGAAATATTTTTGTTGTCATAATGTTGAACCTCAATTGATATAACAAGTATCACAATATTTTCCGACCCTCCTAAATGAAACAATGTGCATAGGTGCGAACATTGTTGATGACTTGAAACCATTTCATACTACATCTCAAAATGATTTTTTTTTTCTGTATCAATTAAGAGTATCAAAAACACAAAAGAGAGGCTCAGATGTGCTATTTTGTCGCCTGATTATCAGGCATGGTGAAGACCCAAAGTTTTCACATTTGCACAATTATCTTCACAGCACTCAAATAATGCACCAGCCGGGAATTGAACCCGGGTCTGTACCGTGGCAGGGTACTATTCTACCACTAGACCACTGGTGCTTGATATTATAACTATCCAATGTTGAATATGGAATCAACACTGGCTGATTCAATTAGTGCTACTAAAAAGGATGATCCATCAAAGACTTTTCGTCTATGTTGCGAGTCTTAGAATGTCACAATCGATGCTCCAACGATTGTTGCACATTTCACATATGTGGATTTAGAGTTGTCACCTTCAAGGACATTTGCACAAGTGGAGGAAGGTTTGGTTTGTCTTACATATTGCCTGCAGATGAAATTGTTATATTTGGAAACTTGGCATAGCAAAATTTCCTAATTGGATATGATCTTCTGGACAATAAAGTATTTTTTGCCTATAGATTGCACTAAGTACTAATGTTGTTAGAACTAATTCAAATTTTATTGATAAATTCTTGATATCTCATGTATTCTTTCCATCTAATGCTTACTAATGGAGATCTCATCTTTTTATTATGTGTTCAATGTAAGGAAAATGAAATCAAGAAGTTACATTTACAAAGTCCTAACATATTCTTGATCTAGTTCCCCCAATGTTTTTTCTCGTATATTGATCTTTGTTTGTATTATCGAGACACACGAAGAGTTGGTCATATGTGTGATTCAAATTTAAAAGACTTGATCAGAGAGCTTTAGTGAACAACAAACGCTACACATCATTTATAACAGGAAAGAATGACGGATAACAAAAAAGAAGAAGGAATAGATGCAAGAATTCTCAAACTACTTTTGATATGAAAAAAGATTTTGAATAGTGATAGATTTGAAGTGGATATCAACAAGAGTAATGCCTCAATACTTTTGTTAAAGAAAAAAACTCGTGAATATTGACAATCTTGTGAAGTGGATATCAACAAGACTTACACAATTATGTATTAATTTTGTTTTTCCTTCTATTTTTAGCGATTAAAGTCGTAATGATATGTGTATTGTATTATTTCTTTCTTTTTCCTTTCTTTCTTTCTTTCTTGTGTGTCTTTATGATGTCTCTTAAGTTTAATTTTTATACCAACTTCTGATTGGTGTAAGTTTATAATTTCTTTTAGTTCAAATTAGTATTTTAAAATGCTAGAGTCTATCCTAAAGAGATACCACTTCATCACGAATTTATCTTAATTATGGTTGAAATTCTACTTAAGTATAAATCAAATTTAAAATTTATAATTATTTTCTCTTGGTTCAAATTAGTAACTTAATTATGTTGAAAAATCTGCTAATTACTAATCAAATTTTAACCAAATTATACATCTACACATTTATAGGAAGGTATAATATAATTATTTTGTTTTATATTCTTTTCATATAAGAAAAAACCCTTAAAAAGTATTTAAAATTTTCAACTAAAATTCACACACACGCACACGCACGCACGCACGCACGCGCACACACACAAAAGATAAGATAAAGACATTATTATATATAATACCTCTTTTATTTAAATAATATTTAGTGTATTATTTATATTTTGCATGATCTCGCGAAGCGGAGATGAGTTCACTTGTGGAAAATTAAAGAAAAAATATTATTATCATTCTCAGTGTTGAAGTAACCTTTTTTTTTAGCACTAGTATTGAACCATTCAAAATTCAAGTCTCAAAAACTAGAAATAATATGATAAAAGATAAAAATTATAAAAAAGTACAAGAAATATTTTTTAAAATAATACAAAGTAAATACTTTTATGTATAAAAAAATTACAATTTTAAAAATTATATATATAATGTTGGATTGGTTTTATCTCGAATTGACATTTTTTTTAGATAAAACCAAATCAATCAAGTATAGTTGTGGAATGGACCGAAAACCACAATTGACATTGAAAACTACTAATATACTTTTTTTTAAGTTTAAATCTGGACTCATGGTTCATTTTATTTAATAAAAAATGGGCTCCTAAATGGATCCACACATAAATATACCAAAAAAAGAGCTAGTCGGCCCAAAAGTAGTCAGACTAGGTGAATATAAAAGAACCCTAAATGATAGGGTTTTCTGATTTGTGTTCTCCGCCTCTTCTTCTCCTTGTTCTCATCGCCTTTGCGGAGATGTTCTCCCTTGTGCTCCCCAACTGCAGCTTCCTTCCCCTTTGGTTAAGCGGGATTAACACTCCCCACCTTGATGTTGTTGCTATTGTTGTTGATGTTGAGATCAGTTTTCAAAGGTTCATTTTTTTAGCCATCTGGCTTCTTCATTGTTTCGTTTCTCAACTGACTCTGCTTTTATTTTGAAGGTGTACTACAAATTATTAAGTATTGGGAAAAATGGTGGAGATGGAATAAAATTGATGTTGAGATTTTATATGCAAAATCCAACCAATTCAGGATTGAGGTATTATTGCAGTTATTGAATTCCTATTTCTGTATTATTACTATAATGCATTTTCTTAGAAAGGAAAAAAAAAGTATAATGAACTAGCTAGGCTAATTTTATCTGCATCAATTTCAGGATCCAAAATAGAGTAGAAAATCCTAAAAATGCCAGCAGCATTACGTGTGTAAGAAAATTCAGACTCCCTTGTTCTAGTCTGACCTCAAGTTTGGAACCTTCTATTTCAGGAGACAGTTGCAACTCTTTGGATAGCTACAAAAGTTTAACTACTGATGGTAATAATACTAATACTTAGTTTCATTCTATTTTTTCTCCTATTTAAGATTATGATGATATATGTTGAATTCGATTGATTAAGTATCCACTCTTTCGTCAAATTTCTTTTTACGCCTATATTGACTACTTGTTTTTTTGCCTTTTTAGTCATTGTTCTCTAATTTGGTTGTATAGCATTGCTTCAATAAATTAATTATAGGAAGAAGGTAGTTGAATTTGCTTAATAGAAATGTTAAAGAAAAGGCATTTCATAAGTTTGTTTAACTGAAAATTATAAGAGATTCATAAAAATTAGGTGATACACTTTCTCATAAGATCAGTGTAGTAATTGCTCATGGACTTTAAAGATGTTGTCAAGTCATTACATTGAATGAAGAACTAAATGTTGTCATTACCAATATACTTCCATTTCCCCCTGAAAATATATCAATTAAATCTTGACTAATGAAACTTAAGATTCGGGGAGCAAGTATCATCTGTTTGTCTGGTGAATCTCACGAAATTATAAATTGGAAAACCTACATGCGGACCTATTTGTTGGAAGGTGATGCAGAGTTGTGAGATTTAACCTCTTCCGTTTCTCTTGCTAATCCTAGTGAAAATGATTTAACTACTACATTGACTTGCACAAATTTTAATTAATCACTTTATTGGAATTTTAGATAAATTAGAGATATATTAGAAGTTTAGACTTGGTAATGGCAGGATTTGTGTTGAGTGAGTCTCAGAGTATTATTGCTCTTGATCTCTTTTACCACTTAGAGAATCAGAAGGCTTGAATTAATAAATATACAAAAGAGCAAGTGAAGATTAGGAGAAAAGTGGTGTTTGATTAGGTGGTTGAATGTCTGGAATTCAGATGTAAACAGAGTTTTGGCAGAGGTTTTGACGCTTGGGAAAAATGGACAACATTGATCAAAAGGAAGAACTGGTTGTCCACATTTCATCCCAAGCTTCAAAACCTCTGCCAAAACTCTGTTTACAATCAACTGAATTTCAGACATTCAACTACCGAATCAAAGAATACTCTTCTCCTAATCTTCAGTTGCTCTTCTGCATTATTAGTTCGAGCCTTCTGATTCTCCAACTGGTCAAAGAGATCAAGAACAATAATACTATGAGTCTCACTCAACATAGATCTTCTTGTTACCAAGTTTGGGCTTCTAATTATGGGTGTGTTTGGTATGAAGGAAAATGTTTTCCTAGAAATTGTTTTCCTGGAAAACAAGTTGATTTTTGACTTATTTTCTCATGTTTGGTTGGTGAGTAGAAAATATTTTTCAAAAAAGATTTTTAGTGTTTGATTTATGAATGATTTTTGAGAAATATCTTTTATTTTAACTAGAGTAGAAAATAAATTTTGAAATTGAAAATATTTTTGAAAAACAAACTTAAAATTATTTTTTGGGGGTGGGGAGGGGGGTCGAGGGTAGGGGTGAAAAA